CATATCGAAAAATAGCGAAATACTTACGTTAACGTTAACTTTCGAAGGTTTTCACTAGAAAAAATTTCCTGATGAATGTAAACAAGACCTGGCACCCTGAAAAATGTGCTTCGAATATAGGAATTGTACATTCAACTATTTGATTTATTAAGTCATCGGCCTTCCACCATTCATCATTATTTTTACCTGGATACATAATAATACAGGTTTCTCTAGGTATATTATTTGATATCTGCATCTCTTCAAAAAATGCAAGGCGTCCACAAACTTCAGTTAAAAAATCACTAACGTGAATTGAATGGCCATTACCTTTTTTTCGCAAAGGTTGTTCTTCATTTGAAATCCAAAGACTTCGACTTCCATCATAAGCTGAGAAAATGCATTCGTCATATGTAACAAGAATAAGTGATTGTATATTATTATTCGACCAGGTTATTTCTTTCAAATTGTCTCCTGAAAAAATAGGCATTCTATATTCAAATTCAGTCATTTGTTCTAAAAATATTTTTCAATAGGTAACTACATCTTCTCTCTCATGTCCATCCATATATGTTCCTTTCTTTACCTTTTCATAAGAATATCCAAGCTCCTTCAAATAATTTCTTGCAGTATTGATATGGATTGTTGGAAATGGCGCAAATCCAAGTCCTGATAAAATAATTTCATTTATCTGTATCATCAGTATCTGTGGAGTAACATTTCATTTATGCTCCCGAATATATGATTTAACTTGAAGAAGAATATTCTCATCTCAAAAAAAACTCGATATTTTAGCATGATGCCCATGGTGAGAATAAGGGATTTGACAGGTTTTTATATACTCATGTGTCCAAGAACAAATGCATTTGGCGTGATATACTCCTTTTCCTGCTGCATTGGTGACAACTTTGCTTGCATCTATTTTTAAATAGTTGTATTTTACAAGTTGAATATAAATTTGGATTCCATTTAGATGTATCCAAACTTCACTTTTTATTTTTTCTTTTTTAATATCTAACTCCAGATTTTCAAGAACAGTTGAGATTTCATTATTCCAATTACAATCCTCAATTTTATCATCCAACAGGTCATCATCATCATTATTAATTTCCTCAGTAGATTTTTTAGTATTCCAAAAGGTATGCAATGTAAAAGTTCCCTTTGCTGCTTCATGCTGTTGATAATTCTTTCTTCTTGTAGTGCGGCTTAAGTTTCTTATGTAAAGGGATTTACGTACTTTGTGAGAAACATGTTCTTCGTGATATTTTTTTGTTACTTCTTGAAGTCTTGTTACAATATTTACAGCATTATTATTTTCCGTTGGCCCATCATAGCAATCATTAAAAGAATTATTGATATCGGAACCTTTTAATTCATCAATATTGGGACTTTCTAATTCATCGATATTATCATAATCTATGCCATCACACACTTTCATTAATCGTTTTTTACTTTTTGTTAGATGTGGCATATTTAAATTGGATTTATTAAAGTGATTCTTTTAACAAAAAAAAAATTATCAAAAGTATCACAAAAAATATTATCGCAAATAGATTCGAATAATATCATTGTAAAAAAAAAATCTTTGAAAATTTCAAAATTATTTTATTAAAAATTTTTAAAAAAATAAAATCAAAGTTTTTTTTTTTTTTTTATGATTTTTAATGAACCTGATCCTTTCTCCACATCAGCATGTCATGTGGACAAATGCAAGCCAATAATATTATAAAATTTCTGGCTTATGTGATGAAAGATCTATAAGTAAAAGAGAAAACTTAAACTAGACCCCAGGGTTTAGGTCATTTATTCTAGACCCCCGGGGTTTAGGTCATTTTGTCTA